GAGGTCTGGTGGGTGAAACTGCCAAATAATGTTAGTGTTGAACTCAATTATATAGTAGCCAGATGAACAGAGGTAGAGAATAGGTTTCTTTCTTTACTAATAACAACAGTACAAGTCCAGAATCAGGTCGATAATACAGTCCGAGGTCAGCGCCGGTAAACAACAGCCAGAAGGTCCACAAGAGAGGTCAGGGAGGAGATAGAGGGTCGGTACACAGCAGGCAATCAGATTCTGGGGGAATAAGGCAAAACACGGTGGTCAACGGGCAATCCGGGGTCAGAACAAGATAATCAGGCAGAGAAAGAATGCTGGAAAGTCAGAGCTGGGGTCTAGAACAATCTGGCAACTTCCTGGTGTGGGGAAGATGCTTATGTGGCAGGTGTTGCCAATCTGGGTGATGAGATGCAGGTGAAACAATATCAGCTGATAATGTAAAGAGTCCAGAACTGTTGTGAACCAAACCGGAAGTACTTCCAAAATAAAAGCCTGGAGGGACAGAGTCCTGACATGCTGTCTCTTTGCAGCTGCTACCCACCTAAAACCCCCAGTACCCCATAGAGACTGTGTCGCCCCAGATTATATAAATCAAGAATCAACTCGAGAGGAGTTATCCATAAGAACCCAATTAAAATTAAGACTACTCCTCTTATAGTGGAAAGTAATAGGACAATCAAATCTGGTCTATTAAATATCAGATCTCTCTCATCTAAATCTCTGTTAGTGAATGATTTGATAAGTGAACATCACATTGACTTATTGTGTCTTACTGAAACGTGGTTACAGCAGGAAGAATATGTCAGCCTAAATGAATTCACTCCACCTAGTCACAGTAACTGTCACATCCCTTCGAAACACGGGCCGAGGTGGAGGTGTGGCAGCGATCTTTGAGTCAAGCCTATTAATCAACCCTAGACCTAAACATAGTTATAACTCATTTGAAAGTCTCACTCTGAGTCTCTCACACCCAAAAAGGAAAACTCAAAAGCCAGTTCTATTTGTTATATACCGTCCACCTGCTCCTTATTAAGAGTTTTTAAGTGAATTCTCAGACTTTGTCTGATTTAGTGCTTAGT